GGTGACCCTGTAGACACGGCTGGGGACAGGGATGCCAGATCAGTGACAGATACTTTGCCACTCTAGAGGACCCACCAAGGGTGCTGGTGCAGGAAGGGGATATGTCCTGTGAAGCAAATTACAGCAGCCTTGGGAGCAGAGAGGGCTGTGAGGAGCAGGAAGGAGGTCTAAAATATCAACAGGGCCTGGCTGCCTGGCCAAGATGGATGTTTTTCACCCACTCTGTATTATGCTTCAGTACCAGATTAAGGATTTCCCTGGCAGTGGGTGCCTCCTGCGGGGCACATTCAGCATCTTCTGCCTCTCTGAGAGGCACCCGATGCATCTGCTGCCAGTCATGGCCTGATGCCCAGTCCTGCCCAGACCCTGCCAGACTCCTGCCTACTTGGATATACCCCATCCTGCAGCCTCCAGACAGAATTAGGACCTGCATTTCATTAACGTGAACCTGAGAGCAGTGGGGTGACCCTGCTTTTGGGAGGATCTTGTGGGCTGATACCCCCCTCTCCCGTTCCTGCCTCTCTGGGTGCTCCTCCCATCTGTCTCACTTTGATGACCACCAGCTAGGGGTGACACCTGGATATGCAAATTTGGCTGGAGGGAGCTGTTTGCATCTGGATTAGGGCTGGGTTTCACTCAAACCTCCTTCAAATGGTGGGCTCTCGCTCCCTGCGTGATGGGTGCTGATGGGACAGAGCAGGGAGAGGCACTCAGTACAGGGACATTGCTGGGGGGATCAGAACTCCTTCAGCGGCCATGGCTGCAGGCCTTCTCCTGGCAGGAGGAACATCTGTTGGCAATTAAAGCCAAGATGTATCACACCCCATCATCACTTTAAAGAGGCTCCGTTGCTGAGCAAAGAGCTCTCTCTCCTGGCTGCTGCTGGCTTTCCTCTGCTTGCTTCCCAGTGCCCTCATCCCACCGGGGATTCAGGGAGGAGGAGAATCTGATAAGAGACGGGGAGCAGAGGGTTGAGCTGGTTGCTCCAGCAAGTGCCTTCTGGCAGGGAAGGAGCTCAGACTGCCCTTGGTGTGTCGGCAGCCAGCACTGAAGCTCTACTGGGAGCACTGGAGCAGGAGCAGAAGGGCTGGAGGAGCTCTGTGGTGGCTCAGCACTGCGGGAATCACGCAGCATGATTTACCCTGTCCAAAAAATCTGCCGGTTGTCGTGTGTACAGCAGTAAAACCCAGCCTAATTCCTGCAGCAGTTCCAGTTTGCTGAGCTCTGGGCAGAAGGGAGCCCTCCCATCTGGTCCGGGCTCTCTGAGCTGCAGGGAAGGAGCCAGAGGGGTCTTTCAGGTAAAAGTCCCTGGGAGCACGCCATCGGCCAGTCCCACCAGAGCCCCTTGGCGACTATCAGGAGGAAACAGCAAATGGACGCGTGGGTTTTATGAAAGCTGACATCTGTCTGCCCTCCTGGCCTGACCTCACAAATCTGCCAGACACAAACGGCTGCACCAGTGAGCTTAAAAAGTCCAAGGGTGCAAATGTTTCCCTGCTCCTGCTCCCCTCCTTCACTGGCAGGAGTCAGAGCCAGCCAAGGGCTTTAGTGAGATCCCCATGGCCCATCTGTCCACCCCACACAAATTAACAGCCAGTGCCCTAGTGCTGGGTTTTTAAGCAGTGGGGTTTTTTTTCACAGAGCAAGCAAGAGAGAATAAATAACAGTGACAACCAGCAACAGTGAGACCTTGCAACAAGAAACACAGAGCTGGCGCTTCCAGAGGACTTTCCACCTCCCTCAAATTTCCCACAGAGCAGAGACCCACAGCTGGGCAGTGCTGGAGTCCCATATGGTAAACCAGGGGCTCATGGCTCTCACCAGCATTGCTGCTGAGCTCTGCATCCTGCAGTGCTTCTCTTTCACACAGTAGTCCCTTCCCGCTCCCCCCGTTCGTCCCACAGCCACGTTACCTTCCCAGCACCCCCCAGTCCCACAGGTCAGTGGATGGGGAGGCACTGCTGGTGTCCCCAGCTTTGGCAATAGCCCAGCTGCAAGGGGACTGCCCCAGCCAGGGGGTCTTGCAAAGCAGCCATGTCTCTCTGCTGGCCTCGAAGCCCGGTGTGGTGGGTCCCGCTGGAACAACAGGCAGAGCCGGGCATGCAGCGATCCTCCTTGGGGCTCTCATAGTGCTGGAGCTGCCTCTCGGGGGAAAACATGGCATAGAGAGGGGATGGAGAGCAGCGCTGCAAGATGGCAGCAACCCCATAACCGGGCTCCCAGGGGAGCTGAGGGCGGCTGGGCTTCATCCTCGGCTCCTGTGCAGTGACTTCAGCCCAGCCACAGCATTCAGAGTGGGTGCAGGACCAGCAGCGCCCAGTGCCATGCAGGGACAGGGACAGAGCGGTGATCCTGTTGATGGCTCGCCGAAGGGTAGCAATTTTGGAAAGCCTTTTGCCACCGAGGTCATGTTTGAGGGCGAGGCGCAGGGCATTGAAGGCTTGGTTGTAGTCCAGGATCCTCTTGCGCTCCCTGACGTTGGCAGCCATTCTCCTCGCCTTGGAGCGCACTGGCCTGCTTCTCTTCCTCACCTTCATCCCTTCCTTGTCCCCTAGGTAGGAGGCTGCTTTCCTGCCCTGGGGGACCCACAGACCCTGCCTATAGCATGCCTGGGATGCACCCCTCACTTCCAGCTCCTCTTCCGAACTGTCAGGCTCTGGTGCCGTGCCTTTCCCCACAGCTGCTCTGGACATGGCTGCAGCAAGGAGGGAGTGAAAGAAGTGCAGCTGCAGTGCTGCCTCCTGCGAGGGGTGTGAGACACTCCTCCAGCGACACGCAGCTGCCCTTAAAATCCCCAGGGCAGGGGCTCATCACGTGGCTCCCTGCCGACCCTCCTCACCTGCCTGCAGGTGTGCTGCCTGCCCCACGGGCACAGGGCAAGCCCTGCCTGGCCTCTGCCCATGGGGATGCTCCTGTGCCTGGTGCCAGGCTGGAGTGGGGGACTTTGGTGCTGGAGTGCCCGGTATGTGGTTTGCTGCTTTGTGCCCAGGGTGGGAAACACCTCTACCAAGCACACAGTGAGCAGTTGCTTCGGTTTCTGCCGAGATCTTGGTCGCTGCAGGAGTTCCTATGTTAGACAGTGGCTTGGCGTGGGTTGGGTCATCCTTGGGTTTTGTACGGTGCTGTGGGGCAGAGCCCTGCGAGGCATTGCCATCCTGGCATAGGACTCAGGCTCTGCTCTCTCATGGGTCATTACCACCCTGGAGTGGGGCTCAGGCTGCACTCTCCCATGCTCACTGGTGCTGCAGCATTTCTGTTATTTCCCAGCTAGGGGAAACTGAGGCACAGAGTGATGCGGTTGCTGAGGAGAGCAGTGCATTTTGTGCCTGGGCACAGGAGGAGACAAAACGAGCCCTGTCCCAGGATCGGGACTGTGGAACGGCGCTGCCTTTGAGACGGTGCCTTAGAGCTGCTCCATGCAGCTGCAACTCAGCGAGCTGGGAGCATTCGTGGGCACAGAGGTAGGGGGGTGCCTGGGCAGGAATAGCCCCTCCGGGACCCAGCAGAGGAATTGGGGGGGGCGGGGGTGCTTGGCACGCCTCTGCCCTGCGAAGGAGTGTGGCAGTGGGGGCTGGGGCAGGTGATAAAAGACCAAAAGTGCGCCCTGCCTCCAGAGCCTTCCTGTCCCTTTGCAGCAGCGGGGAGCCCGGGGGCAGAGCTGTCTGGGCTGGCACTTGCTCTGGGGAAGGCAATGTTGAAAGCAGCTCCCTGTTCCCTGCATCCCCATGCCGGTAGGACAGGAGGACTTGCCAGGTGCATCAGGTCTGGAGGCCATGGGGAGGGCCAGGTCCCTGTCCTCTGAGCAGCACGGGGCCGCCACGTGTGTTTGCCCATCGTTTCATTAGCAAGCAGTTGCTAAATGTCTTCTTGGGTGAGGGGTAACATTTTGAAAAATAGCCCAGGAGTGGGTCTGACAAATTGTTGGGGTGACTGGTGCAAAAGCAAAGACCTAGGAGAACGTGCTCCCCCTTGATCCATCCCTTCCTATCTGATTGCCCCGGCTCATACTTGATCAATAGCCACAATTAGTGGGGGCTATTTGTCTATTGCCCTTCTCCTCTCTTGGCTCTTTGAAGTTGGAGCTAATTTAGGTGCCTCTGCTCCAGGAACCCAATAAATCAGGAGCCAGGGCCTCAGGGAGAGGGGAGGACCAAGCAGCAGGACTTCAAAGGGAGGAGAAGCTTGCAAATACTTTTGAGCACTCACCTGTGCTCACCATGGCCCTCTTGTTCTCCCTAGCAGCTTTCTGGCTGTCCAGTCTTGCTCTGCTCCAAAGCAGATGCTTCCCCAGCCATGGAGTTACTGGGTGAGCTCAACTCAGGAGCAAGAGGCTCTTTGGGATGCTTGAATGTCAGCAGGACATGCATGTCCAAAACCCAGCTAAGCAGGGACAGAAGGCAGGCAGCAGCCCCCAGGCTACCCCTATCATGCCTGCAGTCCCCAGGAGCTCACTGGGGAGCACTGCCAGGGGTTCCCAGCATGTCGGCTCTGGGAAGCCCTGGCCCTGAAGGAATCCAACCCCAACTCTTGGAAGTGGGCAAGGCTAGACCATAAATCATGGGTCATCGGATGCCACCTGCCGCCTGTAATTAGCGCATCCCGCTGGGCTGTCCCCACCTCGTCCTGGATGCTTCCTACCTAGGTGCCCATTACAGGGTGGGAGGCCAGCAGGAACACCCTCCCCCCCGCCTTGCTCCCTCGGCTCCCACTGATTTATCGCCATGTGCTGGAGAGATTTATGGGCTGAGATGGGGAGCCAGAAGCATGTTGTAAGGCTCTGCTGGGCCCGTCTGCCTGATAGATGATGAAAGAGCTGTAATTATCTGTCGCCATGCATAAATCAGGCCACTCATGGCAACCCTCCACCTCCTCCCCAGGATCCATGAAGGGGTTCAACTCCCAGGGATACCCCACCTCTCCAGACCAGTGTCAGACTGGGTGTGGGGCACCGCTGAGCACGAGGCACCTTCCCATCCTGGGCAGCATCGTCGCAGCTCTCACGGATCCCACAGACCAAAGTGGTGTTTTGGGTGTCCTTGCCTCTAACACTGCTGCTGAGTGTGGTCTGCAGCTCCTGCAAAGAGCCCTGGCCTGGCTGCCCCTCACCCACATCCACGCAGCACACCCAAACTGTTGCTGCTTCCAAATGAAAGCTGCTGGGACCATCTGGGAGCACAGCCCTTGCCGGAGATGAAACCCTGATGGGGTGGTGAGGGGACAGCCAACATGGACTGGGCGGGCTGCCCGGTGCCTGGCAGTGTTCCAGTGCCATCCACCCTCCTCAGGAACGGTGCACTGGAGGAAGACCATGGAGAGGAAGCCCATGGTGTCAGGGACTGGGATGCAGGGAGGTGCTGTGATGGAAGGGAAGGTGGAGACGGTTGTTGCGACACTGCCTGGGCCCCATGGGTAAATAAACAGGGTGCTTTGTTCCTGCTGGGGCCCAGTCAGGTGGCACAAGGGATACAGTGCTGTGAGTCACCCGCAGCCAGCCATCACGTGGGAAGAGGCAGGGGAAGGCAGCTCCTCACAGCCTCACTCCCTGGAGGTTCCCCAGGAGGTCCCATAGCCCAGCACTTCACATGGTACAAGGGAACCACTGACCCCGCTCAGTGTTGGAAAGCCCTGTCCCATGGGGTGGCAGTGAGGTGAGGACATGTGCTGCCCTGGCAGCTTAAATGCAGCAGACACATGTGCTGTGGCACCGGGTGGGCAAAAAGCGTTACATGGGCCTTCATCACTCGCCACAGGAGTCTGTGCCTGCCTTTGCATCTGCTGGAAATGGCCCATCCATCCCGAGACCCGCAGGGCCGTCACCAGCCAGAGGATAAAGATGGCCAGGAGATGGGCACAACTTCATAGCAGAGGCCAGGGCATGCGGTGACTGAGGCAGGGCAGCCCAGTGGCCCAGGAACTACCCCACGCCTTCAAGGCTTCATCATTCCTGACTTGGGGACCGATTTTTTGCAGTGCGTGGGATTATTTATGCCATTAGCTGTCACTTCGTTAGCTGCCGCTTCATTAGCTGCTCTGGCGCTGCCGGCACCAGACGCCTCCTCGCCTGCGCAGCATCCTCGAGGCCACATCCCGCAGCTCCGGGGAGACCCAGAGGTGGGGACGGAGGAACCAAAGGTCGAAACAGCCGGGAATACGGCAACTCC